CCGATTTTATCAATCGGGGCCCGAACCCAAACCCGATAAACATGGGTTTTTCCCGTCCAAATCGGGGCGGGCTCGGATGGGTACCCACGGGGGCGGGTTAGATTGTCATGCCTACTTATAATCAGTTAAGAGTTGTAAGTAACCCTCGACTTCATGCTTTGCTCTACATTGACTAAGAACCTAGAGGAAATTCAACAAAATCCACTCCAAGAGTTTCACATCTACTCAAAGATGGTTTTCAACAATTGGCTTCCTAGAGTGTCAAAACAAGATTTCCTATATGAGATCTTCAATTTGTAAACAACATTTTCTCCTTTAGTCATAAATCAATTGACATGTTTTAACTCTTGCAACACTTTTGGGATCAACATATATCTTCTATATACATTATCCCAGGTCAATTCATATAGAGATCAAATCACACCAATCATGTATAACATATCAATGTTTAACACCTCAACCAATAATAGCATATCAATGCTTGACAATTCATCCAAGTATAACATATCAATGCTCAACAATTCATTCAATAATAGTATATCAATGCTTATTCACCATTCCAACCATGAAATTTATAGCATATTAATCATACATATCATATCAAGGCTAGACAACTTAATCTTAATAGCATATCAATGCTTGTTATCCTCATCATACATCATACAACATATATCACATACAACTTACCAAAATCAACTATAGTAAAAAGACAACCTTCCATAACTCAACACAATTGGAGTTTCACTAATCCAATCAAACTAATTTTTATCTCATACAAAAGATAATAAGATTATCTACGACTCTTTTGAAGACCTCAAGTTCTAACTCTATCATCTACTATAATGAAAATCACAAAAACTGCAACAATTTGCCTAAATGTTGATAACTTGACATTTGCTCACTAAAAAGGTTATAATTGGAGTTCTAGACCTCTATTTTATGTGATTTCAAAGCCATCGAAAAGCTAACGTCCAAGGTTACAATTTTTATGAAGACAACAAATTCTAATTCAGAAATCACCAAACTGCTTAACCATTTCAAAACTGCTTAGTGGATTTCTTCCAAAAACACCTCTGATTCTTATCTTTAATTCTATTCATCCATTTCCTTTTAGTACTCACATTTCTCATTTCCAAGTCCGTTCAACCTCTTTATGACAGAGATCGTCTCCTCTCTTTTCTTTTCTTCATGATTTTGGGGTTTTCAAACCTTTATATTCCATCCCAAGTTTCCTACAAGCTCCAAACTCAAATCTAAACAACAAAAATTCATATAAGCAACCAGAATACATCAATTTTCAGCAAAAAAAAAAGAACTCATAACAAGAGTTTGGGTACAAAATCAAGTTTTTCCCCCCAAAACCCTAAATGTCTTGAAAATCTCCAAACCAAGAACACCAAATCTCCTTGCAAATCAGTTTAACATTCAAACAATTATGTATCAATGAACATTCATACCACACACGAAACATAAAAATCTACACAGTCATCCATCAAGATTAAGTCTTAGCTCCCCTTACCTCGATCATGAGCAACAAAAATTGAAGAAGAGGAAGAAGAAGAAGAAGAAGAGGAAGAAGAAGAAGAAGAGGAGGAGGAAAAATGTTCGAGCTTTGAACCTCCAAAACTAAGGCCCTCTCAAAATTAAAAGAATAAGAAGCAAGGATTTTAGTCACCAAGATTCTTAATTCAACCAAAAAGGGAAACATACACACATATAACCCAACTAGAGAAAAGTAACCTCTTAGCACAATGTTACAAGTAGGGCAAGGTTAGTTGGAGTAGGCTTTTTGGGACATGTTGTTAGGCCATGTTGGTGATGTAATTGAGGATTACTCTTTTTGTTGGTCTGTATGTAAACATGGTTTCACTTGCAACTTAGGTTTTATATTATGTTTTACTAAATAACTATACATATATATTGTATATATTTATAAAGTTATTTTTAATTACACTTATATTTATATACATGTTATAATGTGCATATTTAGGTATTTCGACTATAAAATATTGAGTATGTTAGTAGTCCACTACTAGTTGGTGAATCCACAAAGTGTAGTATTCATGACGGGTCGTTACAGTATTAGTCCCTCAAGTTTAAGATAATATTTAAATAAATTATTAAAGGTTTAAATATATGTTTAGTCTCTCAAATTTAAAGTAAATTTGTTTTAAATCCCTTAAGTTTAAAATTGATTTTTTTAGTCTATATAATTTCAAGAAAATCTTATTTTAATCCTTATACTCAAATTTTGTTAGAAAATCTGTAAAATACTATCACATAAAATCTACCAACTGGTATCCCCATTAGTGAAAATAACATATTAAACTTCGTTGATGGTGCATAACTATTTCAATATATTACTTTCAGATATATTATTGGTGACCTCAGACTAAGACAATATTTTTGAAAATTATAGGGACTAAAAATAATAGTTTTAAATTTAAAGTAACAAAGATAAACTTATTCTAAATTTGAGAGACTAAAAATATATTTAAATTATTATTAAATTTCATTTTAATTTCTAAAAATATACAATTTTTTATATACAATCTCTCATGAAGTTAATGTCAAAGACATATATGACTAACAAATTTTAATTTCAAATACTTATTATTTGTTATTTTTCTAAAGAGACTGTATTATGACATTGTACATGCCTTACAAATTTATGGAATGAAATGGAGGTTTACTTAAATAAAATATATAATGATAGTTATTTAAAATAAAATTAAATAAATAGTCAATTTGATCACTAAAATGATACTCCTTATAGTAAGTTTTTTAATTTTTTTAGGATTTCATTTAAGTTATTAAATTAGAGGGATCGAAACATTTTGTATTTCTAATAGTTATACAAAGATAAATATTAGAAGGTTGCAACTTATGAATAGTTATTCAAAGAGAATATAAGAAGTTTTTTTTACATCCAATGGGTATAATGGTCCACTAAAAAGTGGATACCAAAAGCGGTTATATACTCCAATATCTCCTTTATAATAGGTCTAAATTAACTCTTTTTTTCATTTTGATTTCTAATTAGTTTAAGAATTTACGCAATAATAATAAAATTTAAATTTATTTTTAGTCCAATAAAATTAGCAAGTTCTAATTTTAATTCCTGTAAAAAAAAAAAGAATATTTTTACTCCTCTAAAATTTGGAATCATTATTTTTATTCAAAATATTTTTCTTTGATCTTCGTTCATCTAACCTAAAGATACTATTTTTTGTCCCTAAGCATCATTTTAAAGCAAATAATAATAACATTAACTTTAAGGATCAATATTTTTTAGAGGCGTTAAATACTAACATAGTATCAAATACAACTGTGAATGTCATTTGGGATATGTAACGACCTGCCGTGGCCATCACACTACGGAACAACACTACACGCTGCTCGAATATATACTAAAATAGTTTAATAAATATTTACAACACAAGTTGTTAATCAAGAAACAAACAACAACTAGTTATATACAAGAAAATATGCAACTATAAGGTAGCCTACAAAAAAATATCCATCTTCAAGCACCTCCTGTGGCCTTTAGCAGCCATCTCCTAGCCTATCCCTGCCCTACTCCCATATCACGTATGTGTTGAGATTCATGGAGTGGTGAATCAACTCAAACTTGGAGAATGAAGGTTTTGATGATAACAAAGTATGGATTCTGAGAATCAAAGCT